ATATTTTAATTATATTTTAATTATATTCTTATTATATAGTAAATATATTTAGCAAAATCAAAGGTTTCTGCAAAGAATTCATAACAACAATTTTTTTTAATATCACTCATGTACTGTGTAGCGGCACATGGAAGCGTCTCTAATTCTGATGAATGAAATTTTTTGTTATAAATCATATGCCCAAGATATTCTGTGTGAGGTCCGGAAACGTGACCAACCCCGATGAATTAAAATTAAGGATGCGCCCCGGTTTTCGATATGAGATCTTTTACTATAGTTGAGGTATTACCCCGGTTGCATTCGTCGTATTGATCTGTCGCATACAATGAATGTGACGAATTTGAGTGATTGGACGGACGGGTTATATGAGGCGTATAGTATAGGTCATATCTCATATAAAAAGTATAAACACCATTTATTATAAATAAGGTCATCTGAAAGATAAGTCTCGCTTTGCTCAGTAAAGTTATTATGCTACATTACTAAAGTTCGCCTAACCATGCAGCCAAATCTAACACGCCTTTTTCAGCCCAACCTAATCCTAACTCAGATTACACGACGTCGTTTTCGTTGGAGCGACAGACTCGTTTTCTCGATAACACCTGCTATCATATATTTAAATGAAATATAGAAAATAAATCTCGACATTTTTAGTTTCAAATCAAGAATCTGATACATAGGGATCCAGCCTATAAAACACGGCTGTTTTATTAATAATTTCAATCCAAAATCCTAGTCTAACCCCCTAAAAAATGGAAAAGTACTTTCCAAAAAAATTATAAATGGTTATATCAAAATAGGTTCAAGTTTTCAATCATTAGTCAATTTCAACATAAAACATCACCAATTTTCAGCATTAGCCAAGTTTATAATCAGCCTAACATATATATTTTTATGATAGTTTCGGCAAATTAAAGTTAAAAATTAGGTTATGCTAAACTTAAGACTCAGAACGTTAACTTTTTGTGTTTTTAATATAACAACCATGATATTAAATTCCACTAGTATGTTTTAGTAAGCTTGATTTAGTTTGTTTTTTTTTAAAAAAAATTAAATACAGGTCATAAAAACCATGATATTTATTGCTATCTTGGGGAAATAAATATTCTATTAAAAAATAACCTGTTTTCTTATTATAATGTACAGTAAATTCAATGTTGCCATGCCAAATTTCAGTGATTCACATCAATTAAAACATATAGCATGATGGTAGCCAGCTACCTAGACTTCTTAAATACGCTCTCATGAGATGATTTCCTTAGATCTCTTAAATGCATCATCACTAGGTATGACGTTAATGTCATCTCGATTTTTATACCAACGATAAACCAAGAAAATAACAGCAGAAATTATAACGACACCAACAACACCACCTACAATTCCAATTATTTCAGCAATATTATTTTTGCTACCAGTGTTCGGACTTATAGATGCTGATGGTTGAGAAGTTGCTGATAAAACCGCGGGTGGAGTGAAAGAAGATACCCACATATAATTATTTGCATCATTTACATTAAGCATAATAATTTTATTACTACGAGAAGATCCAGTGCCATTATTAAACCAACCTATAGAAGATATTATTAAGTAAAAATCACTTTACGCATCACATGCTGTAATTATCATAATAATAAAATTTACCAAACGCAACAATCATATAGTTTCCTACAAGTGTAGAAGAATGTCCTCTGAATGGAGCAGGGTTGGGAGTAAAATCGATAGAAGGAGTTGTCCATTTGAAAGGCTGCACATTGGTATCTAAATCTACCAATTGATCTGGTACAGGTGTAAGCGGTGCGTTTTCACCTCCGTAAACAACTATGTGACCTTGTCGTGCTAAAATAATAAAGGTTTTTTAATTTAATATAAAGCGAAAATTAACAAATAAAATAATTACGTATAATTATGTATATGTACTTAAAACCGCTGTATGAAAACCTCTAGCTGTTGGTGGGGCACCTGTCGTGTTCTACAAGTTTTTGAGATAGCATATATTTTTTAAATAAAATCTAACGATTATGTAAAATGTAAAATGATAATAATAATAATTTACCATAGTTGACCAAGTACTTTTAAGGGTATCATAAAGAAAAACCTATTATTGTTTGAGTAATCATAAATTAATTTCAGCCGTTATGATTTTATTAATGAATAAAGGAAACTTCCAAAATCCAGGCAATTTTTTCTTTTATCATAATTCTGACTTTTTAACTATGAGCATGAATAGGTTGATAATAATCCTTTGTAGAATTAAAAAAGGAAATTCTTATTTGGTACATGGTGCATGCATTCTATACGATCACCTTTTGAATTCTAGCAAAAATATTCCTTGTAATATTTTGATATATTAATCCTGATTCCCACAAAAACCTGACGACAGATAGTAAAAGTTTTAAACATCAAAATTTGTTAGGATACGTATTATCAAGTTATTCATGCTTAAAGTTTAGTTAATAAAAATTTTCTTGGATTTTGTTAACTTTCCAATAATAAATATGAACCTGAGTCAATTCAAGATATTTTCCAAACGAATTCGATCCCCCAATATATACAATAATTCCGCCTGGCAATAAAGTTGCAGTTCCTATATCGTGAGGAGCTGGTGCGTTTAAAATACTTCCTAATGACCATGTTAATTGTGATGTATCAAAAATATCCAATTCATTACTATAAGGTGATGAGGTATTTCCAATATTTTGGTCAGCAGTACCATCAAGTATATAAATTTTTGCATTTTTATCACAGACTACTGATGAGTATCTTCGCCTAGGAGGTTTAATTCCCTTATCATTTGCTGCATTCCATAATTTTGCTGTAGTATTGAAAGCAAATATTAAGGGAGATGAACTATTAAAACCAAAATCTCCTCCCCATACAAAGATTACATTATTCACAGTTTCACATACAACCGAAGATGCCCTTCTATTATATGGAATTTCTGTAATGTTATTTAAATCATACAGTGGTAAAGAAGATGTGTTAAAAGGTATTGAGACATCTAAGAAAAAGAAGTCGTTGGTAAGATTTTGTGTATCGGTTCCTCCACCAAGAAAAAAGATTTTATTATCTATGTAACTTGCAACGTGGTCATCACGATTAAGAGGCATGTAAGAATTAACTGTTATTATTATCAATTGAAGAAGAATTAAAATCGAGAACATTTTGAAGTCTAATGCTAATATGCTAAAGATGTGCTGTTAAGTTAGAAGATAGTGATGACTAGAAATTGCCTTATTATACATTATATTTTGGTTGATTCGTTCAACATGCACTACTCATGCACTTAAAAAACTTTCCTTGTTATAGATATTCTTTTTAATTCTACTGGCCATATATGGAATTGAAAGAAGTCAATTTATTACCATTGTGTACTAATTTAGAAACAATATTTAATGGTTGGTAATACAAATTCATAAGGTATAATATATATACAAAGGATTAGTATCTCGTCATGATTGTTTAAATTGAAACAAAAAATGTACGTTTGTTTGTACATGCGTTTCAGCTTTTTTTAACTATACGTTATGTGAGTGAACGCAAAGTTTTGTACGTACATATCTAATTTTAGAAATTCTTAAAAGCTGTCCTACATATAGTGTGAATCTCGAAAATTTTGTGTGCCAGTCATAATTCTCTATCCCAATATTATACATACCGGGTGTCCCAAAAGTTCCTATACATGGTCCCTTTTTTTTTTAAGTGTTGCATAAATAATGAGTATATCAGGGCAGCCCCCCTAAAGTCCGGGTCGATGATCGATGTCGGATTGATAATTGACTGCTGCAGCTTATCAAGTATATCAGGGTGGCCCGCCAAAGTCCGGGCCGATGATCGACCCGGACTTTGGGGGGCTGCCCTGCCCTGATATACTCCATAAATAATCATCGTGATCTCTATATATAAGGTTACTTTAAAAAAAGGGACCGTGTTTATGAACTTTTGCACACCCGGGTATACGTAATTCCCTCTAATACCCTAATATGATCGTCGGGTTAGACATGTAACCCATTAATCGGCCACCTAAGGTGCTGATTTTCCCAGCATAACCAACACATATTGAATCAATGAATATCGGGGATATACCAGGAGATGAGTTTCCTGACATGTACCCGATAGTCTGCCATAGATCCGCCAAATACCTGCTGCAACATATTTTTATGATATCGGGATGAAGATTGATATCAGTAAAATAACAGCAAAATATTGGGATATCCCGATAAATTACTCTTACAGCTGTTATCATTATTTCTGGGACACCTGGCAAAAAATTAACCCGAATGATTATTCTGTCGATTCGACAAGTTATATATTTCGGGAATAATATTAATAAGATTCAGTAACAAATATCGATATACACGTATCAAATACTATACGTAATTTATAAGATCAGGTGACTAATAT